GCAAATAAATAAATAAAATAAACATTACTTACATGCCGGTACTCTATTAATAGATGGATGGTAGAACATGGTTGAAACTACTTTATATTGTTGAATGGAGAACTCAATTCTATTATTGCAGTTGTTTGACAGTAAACGGGAAGTTCTTGAGGAGATAGATTTGATCCAATGAATTTGAGATATGTGTGAGATTGTTTGTTAAATGTAAGTGATGTAATATACTATTGTGTTATTAAAGGCTATTTATACTTATTCCAGAGATATATTTTTGAAATGTGTGTTATTTATTGAGTAATTGTTTTATGAAGGTGACAGTTTTATGACAATGAATAAGTGTAGATGTAAAAGTTGTGTGGGTGTGCAATTATTTTCCAACTTGTAGTTATCAATTTACTTTGATAAAGTTCTATTGGCAATGAATTAATTATTGGAATAGTCAAGTAAATAAAATGTTAAAATACAAACAATTAAGGATAATTTAAACACACTAAAACAGAAAACACTTAGAAGGGACGAAACAAACATTGAATTTAAAAGGGGAAGGACTTTAATGCACTACATCATAGTCTTGGGCACAATGAGTTTTTTATGTTGTATCTATTAGATTTTAGTGGTAAATTTGACAGATGTAGGTTAGCATGTGACAGTTCTTCTTCTGTTTCTCAATACTGTAAGTTAAGTTATCTAGTTTCATGAAATATGCTGTTATTAATGAATGTCTAACATTAATGAATATAATTATTGGAATAGTCAAGTAAATAAAATGTTAAAATACAAACAATTAAGGATAATTTAAACACACTAAAACAGAAAACACTTAGAAGGGACGAAACAAACATTGAATTTAAAAGGGGAAGGACTTTAATGCACTACATCATAGTCTTGGGCACAATGAGTTTTTTATGTTGTATCTATTAGATTTTAGTGGTAAATTTGACAGATGTAGGTTAGCATGTGACAGTTCTTCTTCTGTTTCTTAATACTGTAAGTTAAGTTATCTAGTTTCATGAAATATGCTGTTATTAATGAATGTCTAACATTAATGAATATAACAGCATATTTCATGAAACTAGATAACTTAACTTACAGTATTGAGAAACAGAAGAAGAACTGTCACATGCTAACCTACATATGTCAAATTTACCACTAAACTCTAATAGATACAACATAAAAAACTCATTGTGCCCAAGACTATGATGTAGTGCATTAAAGTCCTTCCCCTTTTAAATTCAATGTTTGTTTCGTCCCTTCTAAGTGTTTTCTGTTTTAGTGTGTTTAAATTATCCTTAATTGTCTGTATTTTAACATTTTATTTACTTGACTATTCCAATAATTAATTCATTGCCAATAGAACTTTATCAAAGTAAATTGATAACTACAAGTTGGAAAATAATTGCACACCCACACAACTTTTACATCTACACTTATTTATTGTCATAAAACTGTCACCTTATAAAACAATTACTCAATAAATAACACACATTTCAAAAATATATCTCTCGAATAAGTATAAATAGCTTTTAATAACACAATGATATATTACATCACTTTATTTAACAAACAATCATACACATATCTCTTCTTCATTGGATCAAATCTATCTCCTCAAGAACTTCCCGTTTACTGTCAAACAACTGCAATAATAGAATTGAGTTCTCCATTCAACAATATAAAGTAGTTTCAACCATGTTCTACCATCCATCTATTAATAGAGTACCGGCATGTAAGTAATGTTTATTTTATTTATTTATTTGCTCATTTATTATTTTATTACAATTGAAGAGACTATTTTATAACAATTTGTGGGCCTTACCTTGTCTGTTTAAACTTTTTAAAAAATTTTATACCTTTTATTTAACTTACTCATTTAAATAAAAATACAGACATGTAATATTGGCATAATTATTGTAATTTACAACACCTACTTTGTTTATCGTTATTAGACAACACCCTAATATGGGTTTTTATTATTTCAGCATTTGTTTAACTTTGTATCGAGACCTAAGGATGCTTTGCATATTGTAGAAAGCGAAACCGGTCGTCTGATAGTTAAATTAAATTGATTGTGAGTAAGTCTTATTTATTATTTCTTTACCTATTTGAAATTAACTCACACAAGCAACACATTCATGACTTCCTGATATTGTTTCTCGTGCCGCTTAGACCAGCTCTACTTTTCCAGGCAACTACACACTGACATGGACTAATCCAAAGAAGAATATAGGGTAGAAGGAGTCGCGGAAGAAGACGCATCTCCTGGTTAAACAATTTAAGAGCGTGGTTTAACTGCACTTCCATGGCATGATGGTTGCCAACCTTCTTAGAGGAGATGGCACATGAAGAAGAAGACACACTGACATGAAGCAGATAAAAAAATTCACGGTAAAAATATCTTTTTATGTAATAACTACTATTAGAAAATAAATAAGTTTAAATAAAGCTTAAACTAATAGGTTTATTAAAACTATTAGCCATTTACCGATACACAAAATCAACAAAATTAAATATAAAAATTGTCTGTATTCAAATTTGTTGTATGCGCTTTATAAATATTTATCTACTGGCACGCCTCTGTTGTTCTGAGTTAAATTTAATAGCAGATAAAACTTTCCAGAGTTGAAAATCCTTCTCAATGATTTTGTAAAGCTTTTAAAGGAGTTTTTCGCATTTAGTAAAAAAGTTAAAACAGAAACATTAGTTAAAAAAAGCAAGAGAAGTTTAAAACACGTTTCCCATAAATAGCAAGCATACAAAGGTACCATCTACTCTAATGGCCATGAACAAAAACAATTTATTAATTATATTATTGTTTTCTGTCATTTCCGCTACACGAAAGGTGCGAAATTTACATCTTTTAGAATAGCTTTGGTATATATTTATTTATTTTTTTTTAGCTTATTTTTATATTTTTTTATATCTTATAGAACAGTTATTTGAGTCAAATAGTATATATACCACTACAACTTTAACAAAGATAAGATGCTAATTTGTATTAATGTGTAGGTTAGTTAGTTACCGCACATTTGCATCTAGATTTACTTAAAAACTAATGGCTAGACTTTTGTTCCCTTTAATCATATGTATTCATTTAATATATAAATCATATGTATTCATTTAGTATTCTCAATAAATGGTTATAAACTAAACAACCTACGTTTCGCAGATGAACAGCCCTTCTTGCAAATAGTCAAGCAGAGCTGATAGAACTTATACGACTGATCGAAAACGAAAGTCAAATATTTGGTCTGCAATTAAACATATCAAAGACAAAGATCATGATATTGGATAGACTACACAACAATCATCCACATATATCCACAATTGACCGGTTCGAGGTTGTGAGCTCATTCTTATATCTGGGATCATTAATCACAAACACAGGGTCATTACAAGAAGAGATTAAACGTAGATGTGATCTAGCAAAAGTTGCCACAGCAAAAATGACCAAAATATGGAAGGACTGTCAAATTTCAAGAGCGATAAAGATGAGGTTGATCAACTGCTTAATATTCCCAATACTGACCTACGGATATGAATCTTGGACTCTGAGACAATCGGAGAGAAGAAAGATAGACGCCACTGAAATGTTCTGTTGGAGACGAATGTTACGAATTCCTTGGACCGACCATAGAACAAATAATTCAATTTTAAGAGAGCTAAAAGTTAGCCAACGACTCTCTAGTAAAGTCCATCTCCAACAATTAAAATATTTTGGGCATGTTATGAGAGCAAACACAGAAAACATGGAAAGACTCATATTACAAGGAAAGGTAGAAGGCCGAACATCACGAGGAAGATCCCCAACAAGATGGATAGATCAAATTACAGGAATATGCCAAAGACCTATGCATGAATTAAGAGAAATGACCAGAGACAGATATCTCTGGAGACGAACAATACGCTGCATCACGTCGACCATTACACTCCCCCTGGAAGGTCAGGATTGAAGAGAGAGATTCATTTAATATCCACTTCTTTGAAGTTGAAGTAAAAATATATCGCTTTCTACATTCTAATACTACGTATGAGAATTTTTAGACAAACTGAGTTAGATATTGAGTCTATTGAGCACGCTCTACCGATTGATTCTAATCGCAAGTACCGGAACACATGATTAAGCAAAATATTTATAAATTTGTAATAGCAAGGATCAGATTCTTTTGCAAATATGTTCGAATACCACATATTCGATTAATTCTAATACCACGTTAAAGTTTGCTGCTAAATTTGAGTTCTAATAGCTCGTATCAGCCACGCTATTTACGAACTTTAAACAAAAGCACGTGTATATTCTAACCTAAAACATATAAATTGCCGCCTTGGCGTTTATTGTAGTGTTTAATAGTGTAATTTTGTTGAAAATGTGAATTTTAGAACAAAGAAAATCGTGGAATTAGTTTCAAAGGTATAAAATAACTATAATTTCTTTAACTGTTCAAAAAAATTAGGGTGAAAGGGAATTCACGCAAAGAAGAAGAGTATTCATACCTTACAGTATTTTGGAAGGATTAACTAAACTTCCAAGTCACCACTGTAGACAAAAAAAGTCCAATATCTATAAGCAGTATTTGCATCAAAAAAGCATCTAAACGACACGTATGTGTCAAATGTGCATAAATGAAGAAAGATCACCTCTAAGCCAAACCGCATTTTATGCCAGTTTTGTTATATTTACGCATAATAAATAATTTATATTTACATCATAAAATTTAAATATTTTATTTGATTATCCATGTTGTTGTCTGCTGAATCTACGTTTTGAAACAAGAGTAAATTTATTTAAAACACTCTACGACAGCTAAAGCATGTATAAATATTTGAAATACACTGTTTTTGTTGATTATAAGGTCAGCTAGATTAGATAGATAACATATTTTATAAGAAGAATGTTCCTACATTTCACAGATAAAATATTGACAGTTGGCATTAAATAATATGTTGCTAAGGAGAAATATTAATTTAGATACATTAATAAACAAACACTGTAAATGAGAACTTACCGATTTCCTTATTATCCAACATAGTATGGTTTTCGTGGCCAATAATATCCTTTAAAGTTTTAATAACAGTATTGGTAACTACAGGCGCACTGACGAATGGCATGGCACTCGGTTTCGTCGCTGCTGTTGTCGGCAGTGACAAGGCTTTTTGCATCATTGGCGTTGTATGTACGAAAGTTGTATTTGAAGTCTTGAAATTGAGCACTACGCGGTCTTTGTGTGTTACTATAAAGTCCAAGTCGGTGTGCCAGATTTTATCTGAAACAAAAGCTAATGTTAAAATCAAGCAAAGTAAATTTACAGTCAACGCACATTAGCGGGCGCTCTATGTTTGTACAAGAGTTCATAATAAGGAGAAAACAGAATTTCCACCAACGACATAAAAATAAATATCATTAAACAAATGAAATTAAAGTTTACTATAGATTTGTAAATATTAAATAATATTTTATATAAACCACCAGAATTAAAATTTCCATTCTTCGATATGTCTTAACGCAATTTAATTGCTGTATTTATTTTAAGCGATAAAAAATGATCGTTGCTTATCATGTAGCATTTTCAATTTCATTGATTCTTTTGAGTATATTGAAACCTCCCCGTATAATAAAATATATTAAAAACTCCTTATATATATTTAAAAAATAAAACGAGGAATTCTTCCGTGTTTGTTAGTTCGTATCTTTCAAAGTACCCAAAAGTGTTACTCGTCGCCGAGTAATAAAACCATTTGAGAGTTGTTTATTTTACTTCGGCAAATTCTTTTCATGTTGATGCGTCGCAAAAGGATATGTACGCCGTTTCGTTGATTTTGCTATGTCAAGTGTTTGTTTATTTTCAATTTATGCGATCAATTTTATTAGATAATTTCGTTACTCTCGTTGGAACCGCGAGCAAGAGCGGTTCAGCGTTATGTCCAAATTCATGTCGAGTTTGTAAAATTTTCTGTTTTTTCGTTGATTGTGGTGGAAATGGGTAGCAGTAGTGATGGATTTTGTCCAGTATGAAGTGACCGGCATTAATTTGCCGGGAGTAGTGAAGTTTTCGCTCGATATTTCGAGATTTTTGAAAAGTCTGGTTCCTGTTGGAGGGTTCATGTTTTTTTTAGAGTTCCCGTTTTCCCTGGTGTGTTCCGGCCCCCAATGGATGTCCTGTTCCTGTTTCGGCTCCAAATGGATGTGTTTGCTGCTGATCTCCGGATGGATGCTACAGAGATATAACAAGTTCTTTTTGTGAAGTGGAAATATGTAAATCAAGGTAACTGTTTTTTTTTGTGTTCAAGTTTTAAACTAAAGACAGACAATTTTTTTATGAAATAATAATTGCTTTCGTTACATTTAAAATTGTAAATTTTTGGTTTTGAGTTGAGCTGTCAATTTATGTGTTTAGTTTTTTTGAAATTTAATGTTAATTTATGACAGCTCGTTTTATTATTTTTTGATTTTACTTTGTTTTGTTAAAAAAAAAGGTTAACCTCCATGCAATTTTTTAAGTTTTGTAGCAACAGAGTTTGTAAGCGGATGACACATCTAAGTTTTTGTGTTTTGGTTTTTCTCCATGTAACTGTTTGTGGTGACACATAAATAAAGGTTAAATTTTGTTGTCTTAACTTTTTATTTATTTTTTTGAGCCAAACCTTTTTTGATTCTTATTTGAAAAAGATATGTTTTTTATGTTTTGATTTGTTTTCTAATTATTTCCCTAGTTACAACCAGTGGTTGTAATAGGTATAATTAGGCACCTCAAGTGGCGCCCTATATTAAATTCCTTGAGGTGTTTCTTGTTTATTTTTATTGTGTTTGTTCCAAGAGATTAATGACCCCTTTATTTCATTTTTTTGTAGTTGCCCCATTCCAATGCCCTTATCTTTTACTTATCCACGACCCCAGCTCTCCTACCAAACCCTGAGTGCCGTTCGCACAAGTAGCGTTTATTTTGCTTGCCTTATCTTCACCCCCAATAGTTTCTTCCCCCAATTTTCTACCCCTTGTATTGATGCCCCCTGTGGTAGGCAAAATATTTTCGTTACAATCAGATATATGTGTCAAATGTTTATTTGTTAGATATTGGCCATAATGCTTTATTTATTCTGTATTTTTAACTGCTCAAATGTTGAATTTTCAAACTTCATGCCAGCCATGGTTAATATTTTGTAAGCACTTAACTTTTCATATCGAAACTTTTGTTACGGACCAAACTACTATAACCTTTATAAAAACGTAAACCGTCATACTTTTTTGGATGTACAATATTAGATATTTCTCATAGACCAAACTCTTAAGGTAAATGAATTTATCTCATGTAACGCCAGAGAAGACACTCACGGAAACATTGGCAAATTTCAAAGGTGCATAAAAGTACTTCCATAAAGAATATGAAAGGGTTTCGCCTAAAAATATCATGACCGAGTACCAGAGACAGGTAATATCTTGCCTTAATTAGCAAGAAATAGAAGGAGAATTACGAATCAAAAGAAATCAATTCACCACTTGCTTTAAGAATTAAGTAACATTGGCGCGAGTAGTCGCCTCTACTTAGATTTCCGGGTTGAGTAGAATGCATTTTGAAGTACCAAAAAAAGAAAGTAAGGTGCTTTGGAAGATTTCTTCAATACCGTGGAGAAGAAAGAATTAGGTATACCATAAACGGATAAAATAGCGAATTCAGAAGTTTTCAAAATAATGTGAGATCATAAAAATTATTAAAACTAGTAAACTTAAATATTTATATGGTGAGAAAGAAGAGAACATATTAATTCGATTAATTATGTAAGGATAGATGAATGAACGTAGAAAATGGTGCAGATCTGGGCTGAAAATGTGCTGGCTGAGAAATTTAAGAGGCAGTTTGGTTGCAACACTTTCAAAGTCTTTATAAATTCGGCAATACGATCAAGATCATTTATCTTGGACAGTCAGATAATCAGAAAAGGGAAAGATAGGCAACATAAAATTGTTCTGCTGGAGAAGAATATTGTAAACTCCATGGACCGACCGCAGAACAACAAAAAATCGATTCTAAAAGAACTAAAGTTCTGTAAGAGACTCTCCGGCAAAATCCCACTACGAAAACTGAAATATTTTAGACATTTTATGAGGTAAGACATGACAATATGGAAAGACTCATCATTCAAGCGAAGATAAAAGACCGAAGACCATGAGGAAGATTTCTAAAAAATGGATCGACCAGACTACAAAAGTTGAAAAAGACATGCATGATGTTCAAAAATAAATACAAACTGAATACAAGCAGAGACAGAAATCTATGGAAACGACCATACAAGATATCACGACCCCCACTACACTCCCAACAAAGGGTCAAGACCGAAGAGAAAGAGATAGAGAGAGAAAGAGAAAGAGAAAGAGAAAGAGAAAGAGAAAGAGAAAGAGAAAGAGAAAGAGAAAGAGAAAGAGAAAGAGAAAGAGAAAGAGAAAGAGAAAGAGAAAGAGAAAGAGAAAGAGACAGAGAGAGATAGAGGGAGAGAGAATGATTTCTAATCTCTGTTAGAAAAAAGAAAAAAATTCTTATTGCATGTTTATGGTGGAATATTATTAAAAAATCATTAACAAGGTACATATCAGGATGCTAGATTGTGTATGGTATCCTTCTGCTCCCAACTCTACGCTTTCTGAATACTTTTTCTTTGCTATTATGTGTCAAAGATAGTCTTTCTCGTTTTAATCGTGTACATCACTTTTTTTTCTTTCTTCATTCTTCGTAGTATAATCTCGTTTTCTTATCTTGCTCGACCATGATATCCTAAGGATTCGTCAAGTTTCATCTCCATTGGTTCAGTAAGTGTCCAGGATTCAACACCATAGCATAGTCTTGAATTTTATTATTGAATTCACTCCTAAACCTCCTCTATTGTATTTTTTATTTCCTATGAGTGATCCTATTTGTTTTTTAGTGTTGTTTCGAAATAGGTAAACTGTGTATTCGGTTCTCTGTACTGGTGAGTCCACAGGTTCATTCTTGATAAGAAGTTGGGCATATCCAAATTTATTTTTACTGATATCATCTTTACTTACTTTATTTATTTATTTATTTTTTATTAACTATTGTTAGCTTTTTAGACTTTCTGTAAAAATACCGGTGTCATCAGCATATCGGAAGTAATAAGTAACCCATGTTTGAAATTTTCTAAGGATTTACTAAATGTTTCCTCTAAATATAGATTATATAATAGAGGTGAAAGTGTACATGCTTGTCTAATGCCTAGTATACAGAATCTGGATTCCTTCCGTCGATTCATGTCAAATATTTGTTCTTATTGCGGCTGATTGGTTTCAGTATAGATTTTGTATTATAGACCGGTCATTATACATCTCTTTAGAAGAACAGTGCATCTCCTATACCTACGTCTTTCATGCGTCCAAACTGTATGTCTTATATTATATCTTTGCATAGCTTGTATATTCTGAGATGAATAATTAAAAAAAAATAATGCATAAACGTATTAGCCTATATTCAACGTACTTTTGGCTTCCTGTTTCGTTGGTAATATAGTAAATTCTGAAACTAGCCAATATTTTGAAATATTGCCTGTGTCATAAATATTAATGAAGACCATACATAGCATTCGTTAAGATTAATCGTCAAGGTTAACAAAATTCAGACTGTATTCAATCTGGTCTTGGAGCTTTCCCTTCTTTTAGTGATATTATGGCTGCTCTCATTTCTGACACTGCTATAGGTGGGCCGATTTCCGTAGATGTTGAGGACTCCTTCTAACTGAAAAATAAATTTCGTATGTAATGTTTCCAGGTATTACTAATACTTCTTTTCACGATTACCTCTCCATTGTCGTTAACAAGAGTACTCCATCTTCTCTTTTTACTTCTTTTTTAAGTGCCGTCTTCCAATCGGAGATTGGATATCATCATGATTATCTTTACTTTATCTACTGCTGCTCTGAAGAGTTCTATAGAACTGCATTTAAACCAGTCCCATAAATTCTTCAACCATGACACTCTCCTTCTTCCTATACTCCTTCCTCCTCTTATCTTTCCCAGCATTATCAGCCTTAGCAGTTCATATCGTTATACCCTCATTACGTGTCCCAGATATTGTAACTTTCTTATTTTTATTGTGTTTAATTTTTCGGATTCTTTGCCCATTTCTCGCAATACTTCCGTGTTAGTTTTCTTCTGTGTCCATGCTATTCTAAGCATCCTCCTGTAACACCTGTAACTCCTGTTAAATGACTATAACTTATTTATGTGTTCTTGCTTCAATCTCCATCTTTCAAGTCCATA